AGGTCTTTCACCTCTTTTGTTACATTGATTCCTAGGTTCTTGATGTTTTCTAACACTGTTTTAAGTGGGATAGACTCTTTGATCTCTTTATTTTCTGATTCATTATTTGTATTTAGAAACACAACTTATTTTTATGTATTGACTTTGTATCCAGCCACTAAGCAATATGTTTATTGCTTCCTGGAGTTTTTAAGTGAACTATTTAGGGTTTTTCATGTATGTCATCATGTCATCTGCAAATAGAGATAATTAGACTTCCTCTTTTCCAGTTTATATCCCTTTTATTTCCTTTTGTTCCCTGATTACTGTTTCAAAGACTTCTAATACAATGGTGAATAAGAGTGGGAACTGTGAACATTCTTTTCTGGGCCCTGATCTCAGTGGAATGCTTTCGGTTTTTCACCATTAAGAATAATATTAGCGGGGCTGGAGACATAGCACAGCAGGTAGGGTGTTTGCCTTGCACGCTCCCAACCCGGGGTCAATCCCTGCATCCCATATGGTCCCCCGAGCACCACCAGGAGTAATGAGCCAGGAGTAACCCCTGTGCATTGCCAGGTGTGATCCAAAAAGCAAACATATATATATGTATATATATGTATATGTATATATATATACTGCTGATGGGATTTTTATTGATAGCTGTTACTAACTGAGGAATTTCCTTCCACTCCTATTTTATTGTTTTGTTTTAAATCACGCATGGGTATAGGATCTTGTTGGAAGCTTTAGTAAAGACACAAGAGCCCTAAATGAGTAACTAAAGAGCTGGGCCTAATGGATTTATACAGGGCCTTCCATTCTCAAGACTATACATGTTCTTCTCTAGTACACACAGAACATTCTCCAGGTTAAATCATATTTTAGGACATAAGTCTAACTTACATAAATTCACAAACATAAGAATCATAACAAGCATCATATCAGACCACAAAGCCATGAAGATATAAATAACCATAAAAAGAAGATGGGGAGAAACTGTAACCACTGGATACTGAATAGCATGCTACCACATAATACTTGGACCAAAGAAGAAGAAACAAAAAGATTCTTTGAGAATAATGATAATGAAGAAACAAGTTAGCAAAATCTATAGTAACAGAAAAAGCAGTATTAAGAGGGAAACTCATAGCAATACAGGCCTACATAAGGAAAGAAGAAAAAGATAACATCAACAACCTAAATGCATACTTTAGATGTCTGGAGAACCAAAAACAAATGAACTCCAGGACTAGTAGAAAATAAATAATCAAAACCAGAGCAGAAATCAAAATATAGAAACCAAGAAAGCAATACAAAGAATCAATGAAACCAGGAGCTGGTTCTTGGAAAGAATAAACAAGATCAACAAACTTCTTTTCTTTTTTTCTTTTTTTTTTTTGTATTAGGGCCACACTCAGTGGTGCTCAGGAGTTATTCCTGGCTGGTTTTGCACTCGGGGATCACTCCTAATGACATTATGGATGCCAGGATCCAACCCAGGCTGGCTGCGTGCCAGGCAAATGGCATATCCCACTGTACTGTCTCTTCAGCTTTTCCTGTGATTACTTTTTTAAACCGCTGGTATCAGCCTTAGAGTTGTTTGCTAGTGATAAACTGAATGAATAAATGACAAACAACTATTAGCAGGGGGAAAAGGAGAAGAAAAACAATGTAGTAGCAACCACTTATACTTGTTTCTTCTGGGTAAGTTGTTGGGGTTACAGTTTAAATTGTGGTTTGGAGTGCACTTAATTAAATTTAACACATTGGAAAAACTTAAAATAGCAATTCATTCTTTCTGCTAATGGAGATGTCACTAGTTTATTGTGAAGAAAAGAAATGGATCAGGATTTTAGGATGTGTCTCCACCAGGAGGGTTGGGACCACGATATTGTGCCACATGTCCTCTCGCCTTTTGGATCTCCATTATGTTTGCCATCCCTTTTTTCTGATGAGTTTTTAATGATAAAAATAAATTAATTAATGAATAAACTATCAGTGCTACGTAAAGAAAAGGAAGAAAAAATAGCTGACTAACTACTTCCCCTGCCGCTTAGGGGTGGGTTCCAACTTACCTGCAAATTGAATGACATGGTGGTAGTGATTCTTGATAGAAGAAAAATGAAATAAATGATTATATTATATAACAATTTAAGTAATAAAGATTCATCATTGATGGGCTTATGGCAACTCCTATTTGTTTCCTAGGTGGACAAGATTGAGTATATCTGTTTTTATCTGTTTTGTTTGTTGTTTTTGTTTGGGGCCCATACCCTGAAGTGCTCAGGGGTTACTCCTGGCTCTGCACTCAGAGATCACTCCTGGTGGTGCTCAGCGGACCATAGGAGATGTCAGAGGTTAAACCCAGGTGTAAGGCAAGTGCCTTACTGGCTGTACTATCTTTTCTACCCTAAGATTATATATATCTCTTCCTTATTTCTAAGGCAGAAACCGTCCCAGATTCCAGGAGAAGCAAATGAAGAGATACTAACTTGTCCTAAGATATTTGGCTTTGTGGGTGGTTGACCTGGTCTTTCAGTCATGTCATGGGTCTAGTGTTTTTCTTGTGGTTGTAGTAGCAAGTCTGGAAGACAGATGAATTTGGGCCTCAGGGCTGATAGGATGGCATTTTTATCTCTATGATTAACACTAGCCTCTGCAGTTTCATATACCTCCATGTATAATTTTAATATTTCCCAGGAAGGCTGACCAGTGTGAATCCATGAGTCCTGGTTTGGGGTTGGGCTCAGCAAGGGAGAGAAGTTGGAATGTTGGTGGCAGGGAAGCATGTATGGTCAGGATTCTTGTCTCCCTGGTCTTCCTCTGGTGGTCTTTGTCCCCTTACTCCTATCTTCAATGGTGTGATATCTCTCTTCAAGGGACTCATGGCAAAGAGTAGAGACATTAGACATTATTATGGTCACTTCTGGGTGTGACCCTTCAATTTATGTCATAAGACTCTCAGGGTTTGGAATTAGCTCCTGGAGACTGGCCATAGAGCTACACGGACCTGGGGTCCAGCTGTTGGAGGAGTGTGAATCCTGTGGGCTCTCAGCTTCACTCCAGGAATCGATGTGGCTGCCCTGCCTCAGGCCAGTGTGGGCTTCCCACTGAGATGAGGAGACATACCCCATGTTTGTCATGTGTTTAGGGCTTCTTGGGTCCAGAAGCCACTGTTCAAGTCCTATGCCTCCCTCCTGGTGTGACTTCAAGGAAGTGACTTAGCCTCTCTGTCTCTTACAGTGCTTCCTCTGTGTCATGCGAACACTTATGCCTTCTACCAGAATTCGGTGATGTCCGGAGTGAAGACTAGCTCCCAATACCTAGAGCTTGGGTTGACTGTGAAACAGGGACAAGCCCCCACCCCAACCCCCCCTACCCTGGCAACTGAGTCAGTCAGGAAGGGGAGGAGGCGGTCTGCAGCCTCTGGGCTGCTGCTGACAGGATGTCAATATCTGCCTGTCAGCGCCAGTCCGCCCAACTAAAATCCCAGGTGGAAGTTATCAGGCTCTCGCATTTCATAGTTGAGATCTTAATTAAGCAGCTTGGCGCTGAGGTTGCAGGGCTGATGAGTCCTGAGTTTGTCCTTGAGCCGGATGGGACAGGAGTGTGGAGGGCTCTCCAGGAACAAAAAAGTTGTAGCACCCTGGGCTGAGGTGAGGGTTTCTGCAGGTGAGCTATGGGGTGACATGGCATTGTCTCTTGGGCCCCCAGAGGCATGATGGCAAAGTACCCATATTTCCTGAAGGTCTGAGTTGAGAGGCCCAGGACATGCAGGTGGCGTCCTTTACCAGGACCATGCTGCCTGCTTGGTCACAAGAAAGGCATTTGACAGAGAACAGGTCAGCACATTTGGAGAAAGAGTGCTTACAGGCTGACGGACACCGGAATGTTCTATGAATTTCAAGGTATGAGCCACCTTACCAGCAAACCAAAACAAGAGTAGACTGTCCTCCTCTAGGAGAGCTTCTATGCCTTACTTCTTGGGTGGTATTTCAAATGTGGGTGTGGGCTGCCAGACCCTGCCCAAAGGTGTGGGGTCCAATTCAGGTCCTTGCAGCCAAGAGACACTCTCCCTAGGTGTTCTCGGTGAGCCTGGCTGGCCCGGCAGTGGGAGGGTTTGTCCTTGTGCTCTTTGGGCTTCGTTTCTGCGCTGCCCCTCCTCCTCTGAGCAGCACCTCCAGCCCTTTCGACCCTCCCTCTTTGGAGACCTTAAGTCCCAAGGATGCGCCTCCCTTTCTGCCTGTGGAGAGGTGGGTGGCTTTGGCTACGTGCCAGCACAGCCTGTGGCCAGCACGGCACGGGTTGGTGCTCCTTGATACGGAAACATCTCTGGGGACATCACAGCGGGAGCTCGTGTCTGGGCTGGGTTGAAGATGGTCTGGAACAGACCATCTCCACCTCCGAGATGTCCACCTCCTACTCTCATTCCCATTTGTATTATGTATTATTTGTATATGGGTAGTGTTTTCAGTAGATGGGGGAATGTGGGGCAAGGGGAGCAGTCCCTTATTTAATTGCTTTTTATCTTCATGCTCTTAACCTCTGTCTCTCTGTATCCCTCCCTCTGCCGCCCACCCCATGTTTCCCCTCTCCCCTTGCCTGAGTTCCTTCTTCCTTCTCTGTACCCCCACCTCTAAATGACAACGTCATCTCTACTTCTCCTTCTTTCTGTTTTCTCCCTCTCCTTCCCTTCATCTTCACACTCACTGTCCATTCACCACTGCCACATCTTTGGGGTACTCTCCCTGCCTGCTTTCCGATTCTTTCCCTGGGTCCTTCTGTCTCTGTGTGTCTCTCTCTTGCATGCCCCTTTTCTCCTATCCCGCTCCCCTGCCGGTCCCTTTCTCTCCTCACCTTCTCTCCCCTTCCCTGGGCCCTCCCCATCATCGGCTTTGCTTTGTTCTCCCTGTGTCCTCCTGTCTGTCTCCCCCACCGCCCCCCCATCTTCTCCCATCTCTGCCCTGTCTCCACTCACCACTGCTCCCTCTCCCGCTCCACCCCCTACCCGTCACCAGGATGATCCCGGCTTCCAACAAGGCCTTCGTGGTCAACAACCTGGTGTCCGGGACTGGCTACGACCTGTGCGTGCTGGCCATGTGGGACGACACAGCCACCACGCTCACTGCCACCAACATCGTGGGCTGCGCCCAGTTCTTCACCAAGGCCGATTACCCGCAGTGCCGGTCCATACACAGCCAGATCCTGGGTGGCACCATGATCCTGGTCATCGGCGGCGTCATCGTGGCTACCCTGCTGGTCTTCATCGTCATCCTCATGGTGCGCTACAAGGTGTGCAACCACGAGGCGCCGGGAAAGGCAGCCGTGGCCACGGTCAGCAACGTGCTCTCGCAGACGGACGGGGCGCAGCCGCAGGCGCCGGGGCCCCCCAAGGTGGTGGTGCGCAACGAACTGGTCGAGTTCAGTGCCGGCCTGCCCCGAGGCAGCGACTCCTCTTCCTCCAGCTCCCTGGGCAGCGGGGAGGCGGCGGGGCTGGGCCGCGGGCCCTGGCGGCTGCCGCCCCCCGCGCCGCGCCCCAAGCCCAACCTGGACCGCCTGGACCGCCTGATGGGGGCCTTCGCCTCCCTGGACCTCAAGAGCCAGAGAAAGGAGGAGCTGCTGGACGCCAGGACTCCAGGCGGGAGGGGCTCTGGGCCGTCGGCCAGGGGCCGGCACTCGGACCGAGAGCCCCTGCTGGGACCCCCGGAGGCCCGGGCCCGTGGCCTGCTGCCCCCGCCCCTGGAGGGCAAGGCCAAGCGGAGCCACTCCTTCGACATGGGGGACTTCGCCGCGGCGGCCGGAGGGACCCTGTCAGGGGGCTACAGCCCCCCTCGGAGGGTCTCGAACATCTGGACCAAGCGCAGCCTCTCTGTCAACGGCATGCTGCTGCCCTTCGAGGAGAGCGACCTGGGGGGGGCCCGGGCCGCCTTCGGTAGCTCCGAGTGGGTGATGGAGAGCACTGTGTAGGCGGGGGCCCTCCCCGACCCCGCAGGAGGGTGGGGATGGAACCTTTGCTAGCCATCCTCCGAGTTTCCACGGTGATGTTTACAGCCAGGGGCAGTCCGCTCTCTGTCAAGGCCTCCTCCCCCAGCCACCCGCACCCCTCCCCAGGCCACCGCCCGCCTCGGGGCGCTCAGGGACAGGGACTCAGCGGCGGGGCCCGAGGGTCGGGAAAGGCGGGACTCCTGCCTTTCGGGTGGAAACAAGTGGCTTGGATGGCCCTGCTGCCGGCTTTTATTTAGGAATTGATTTTTCCCACTTCCCGGGATCCCCCTCCTCATTCACGCCAGATAACGGGGAGTTCTCAGCGGCACGCTGTCTCCAACAGCTCGGGAGGGGTCGCTACTGCCCACTGAGGAGAGAAGGAAATCCTCCTTCCTTACTTGATTGGAAACAGGTTCCCTCTGGTCAGACCCTCATTACTCCTGTCAGCCGTGTACCAGAGCTGTGGGGGAGGGGCGCATGTGTGGCCCCCCAACATCTGCCCAGTTTCCTTTGCTTCTCAGACTGGCACCTACATCTGCTTAACCACAAGAGTAACAACTTCCAGGACTCTGTGTGTGAGGGGGAAGGAGAGGCCTTAGCGTAAGGCCAACTGGATCTCAACGTTTAGAATTAGCTTTGGAATTGTTGCCTCTGGAGAGGGAAGCTGAGGCTGAAAGTTCCCATGAGCAGGGGATAGACCAAAAGTGCTACCCTGCGGGAGAGCAGATTGGAGAGTTAAGATGAGCACTGTGCTGGGAGTTCAACCTCTGAGTTAGGGTTACAGCACCACCACTGTAGTTAGTTTGAGCAAGATGCTTTCTCTTTTGGGATCTCATTCTCCTAATTGCAAAATATTGAGATTGCCAAAGGTCCTTGCTTCCCTTCCACATCTCAGGATTAATGACAACTTCCTGACTCTCAGCATTATGGTTTCTCCTTAGCTTAGCAGCAGTTGGCCGAAGAGCAGCTTCTGCTCTGCTCACTGCACCTGACAGGAGAATCTTAGAGGCTTTGGAGGGGCAATGCTAGTCTCGGGAGAGTCCTAGGGTTTGGGAGCTTGAACAGACATTTGTAACCCTTTCCTCCCCTGTCACCTCTCTACTTGAGTCGGACCAACTAGCCCAAGGTCTTGGAGTGAGTCACTGACAGGTTATGGTAGGCCCAGTCCATCTGCCTGGGGAGGGACTGATGTAACCCAGTCCATGTCTCCACATTTCCAATCTAGGGGGTTTCTGTGTGCAGTGTGTCCCTTGTCTGTCCCTAAGGAAGGAAGGCGGCTCAGGTTGGAAAGTGGGGGGATATCTACCACAGATGGCTCTTGTAGGAGGATCCATCCATGGAAATATTGGGGAGGTGATAGGAGGGTCCACAGGGCTCATTTTCATCCAGGATTAAGCTCCGCACCCCCTGACGGGGTGGAAAGGGTCCAGAGAACGGGTGGCTGGGGAGCTGCTGTTTTCTAGGAGCCTCTGACCAGCTTCCCTGCATTGCTGCCTCTCCTGATTGCCACCTGTTCTGGGTTGCTCCTCATTTACCAACACACTACCTCTCTCTCTCTCTCTCTCTCTCTCTCTCTCTCTCTGTCTGTCTCCCCCTCTCTCTCTTCCCATCCCTCCAATATTCTTTTCGCTCTCCGGCATTTTTCATGTCTCTCATCTGTCCCCTTCTTTAGATTTGCCAATATCACAGCAAACAAAGCATAAAGGGGAGGCCACTTCAGGCCTAGAAGGTCTGAGGGGCTCTGGCCAGCAGCCGTGCTGGCCCCACCCCACCACAGCACCTAGAACTCTCCAGAAAAGAGTGCAGAGTTGTCCATTCAGGGCTGCCTTCAGATTCCAGTGCCTCCAAGGTTCCTGCCTTCACCCTCCACGCCACATCCCTTCCTTTCCCCTCCCCTTCCTTTCCCTCTACTCTCCTTTTCTGTTCCCCCACCTTCCATGACTCTGCTTTCCTCTGGCCCTTTCAGGTCCTGAAAAGGTAATAAACATATCAGATGAGACCCTCTCTGGGATTGCAAGTTAATTTTCCAGGTCATCCCACTAGCTGAGCACACACATTCACTGCTCAGGTGCCCCCTCCACAGAATGAAAAAAAGCATTTCCCATCTTCCCTCTTACCCATGCCCACGTTCTCTCTTCTCCCTTTTCTCTCTGCACCTTTCTCATGCAGCCTTTTAAAATGTAGCCATTGAGGAAGTGACCCCAAGTACTCCCTTAAGTTCAAATGTCGGAAGGGAAGACACAAGCTCCTCGGTGCCCTGAGCTCTTGGTGGCTTGCGATGTAACTGCAATGTGTTTGTTGTGTTTCTGACTTGAAGTTTTGGAAAGCAGCTTCCCTGTGGTCAGAATATAAATGCCAATCTTTTCTGTTGCTAAAAAAAATATGTACAGTAAAATGTACAGTTAAACAAAACCACCACCAAGCATACTTCTTGGAAGGGAGAAAAAAAAGAACGTTCTCGTGTCTGTGAATGTCTGCTGTTCATTTCTTTGAAAACTGGGGTTTTCTAAAGGTGGCTTTGAAATGGTGGAGTTTTCTTTGCACCTGTATTTGTTTACTACTTGGTGGAAGCTGCTTCCTGCCAAGTCCATGTTTGAGATGGGAGTCTTCTGAAATGGGGGAGAACGAGGCAACCTCTTGGAATAAAAACCAGTGGTTACTTGTGCAGTGAAAAAAGCTATCGGCTAATAACAAATAGTTCAACCCCAACTAACCTGGATCTTCTGTTCGGGACCCCCAGAGAGCTGTCTCTCCTTTGAAAAGTCAGCAAGTCACATCTGGACCGGGACAATACCAGGTATATCCACTAGGGGTGCACAGGTACCAGGTACCACTTTGGGCTGGTCATTACTTTAAAGTTTTTGTTTTTTTGTTTTGTTTTTTGTTTGTTTTTTTTTTTAACGTGGGGAAATGGGTCAGCAAACGGAAGTACAAATCTAAGGTATAGAAATAAATAAACTTCTCAAACACAGACTAGGCTTCATAAATTTTTCCACTCAACACCACTTTTCATCCAAGAAGTGAAACCCACGTGAGCACTTCCAGAAACATACCAGATTCATTATGTGGTGGATTTGGAATTAATTTTTGGTCACTGCATATTCGTAAATCTTTTACTGTTGACAGTTTTTTTTGTGGAGTCCTTTATTCAGTTGTATGACCCCATATGGATTTGTGACCCAAAGTCTGAAAAGCTGGCATCTAGCTGCACACTGTCCAGTAGGAATAAAGTGTGAGCCAGACTGTAATTTTAAATTTTCTAGTAGTCACAGGCTATCAAGTATACAGATATGGGAATTATTTTAATAACAAGTTTTATTTTCCCAGCATATCTAATATCATTTCAACATATAATCAGTATAAAATTGTTAATAAGACATTTTTCTTATCTTTTTGTATAAAATTTTGGGAACCTGGTATGTGTTTTACATGATAGGGTATGTTTCAATTCCAACCTGCCATCTTAAAAGTGCATGGGGTCATGTGGAGAGCGCTGATCATTGCATAGCTTGAGACACACACCGACTTGCAGGGTGTTTCTAGAAGAGAGGAGATCAACAGTCATCATTTGATAGCTGAAAAACTGTTCCTACATTTTCCAGAGATTGTCTTGGTACTTCTGTGCATTTATCACTAACCCTCACCTCAGCTTCTCAAGGTAGCTGTATTTATGGCCGATTTTACAAATGAAGGGACTGCGACTCAGAAGAGTTAAATGATTTGTTTAAGGTCAGCTCTGTCCTCCCACTGGCCTTTTTGGCATTTCTTGGCTCTGACCACCTCCTCTCTCTGCTCAGGAAGATTCATTCAGCCCATGTTAGCCCAGGTCTCCGGCACAGGCCTCCTGATGATCGGCCCCACTCCTCAGGATTCCCCTCAAAGAAGACATTTTGTTTTGTTTCCTTTTGCTCTCAGGAGGTTAAAATTTCAAAGGAACCCAGACTTTTTAAAAGATAGAATCTAATTCCCAGGCAGACCATAGCGAAAGCACTAACTCAGCTGCCCCATTTTCCAAATGGGAGGTGACTTTTCAACCCACCAAGTTGGCCCCTGAGTGCTTCCAGGTCTGCGTTCCCTAGCATGTCTGCTCTGCAGGGAATGCCAGAGGGTTCCAGTGACTGGACTGAACTGGGGTGGGGGACTTCCTCTGTCCTCGCAGCTTTGATGGTTTCTGCAAATATTTGAGGGTAAAATAGATCCATTATTTTAAAAAAACTAGTGTTGGCAGGCAACAAAATCTGAACACTTTTATTAGTATTAGGACCACCTATGGCTGTGCTCATGGGCTACTCCCAGCTCCGTGGTCAGGGGACCATGCTGGGCAAGGAATTGAACTCAGGCCTCCTGCATGCACAGCGTGAGTACTCACCCTTTGAGCTATCTCCCTGATCACACTGTGTTGTATGTCACACCTAGATTCGCCAACCCAGCAATGTTCCATATGATATTGCAAGCAGCAGGAAGTTTGTTGGGACAAGCAGTGCTCCTCAAAGGTAAATATCCGAGGTTTCCAAAATAGAATCAGGCCTCTCCAGGCTTCTTTCCCACATCTAATAGGAACAGTACGGAGCCGAGGAGATAATTCAAAGGGCTAGATGCAAGGCATGCAATAACACATGAGCCCCTAACTTTGATGTCTGGCACTAACTGGCTCCCCCAGTTTGACTCTGGTGACCCAAACACTGCTGAGTTTAAGCTCTGAACTGTGATGTCAGTCAGCCCATCTAATCAGACTATACATCATCCAGAGTGTTCCTGGGTGCCCTAAGAATCACTTGGAACACAATCCCTCCACCCATATAAAAAGACTAATGCTCCTTTCACCGTTTAAAAGTATCTATTTGTGCTTTTCGCATTTAACCCACAGACCTGAGGCCCTCAGCTTCCATAATTTCCTTTACGGTTCCCCATCTCATGGTCAGTCACTGTGTACCACCTGTCTCCAGGGATCCCTTTCCCTAACACAGGGAGACTGATTTAAT